TGTCTTTTTAGTATTACCATCACCGCTATGGCCTGGACTTCCGGTGTCTCCGTTATCCAGGAATCATCTCTGCAGACTCCATGCCAGGAGGTGGCACAACAGGTAGGAATGATAAAATAATCTAAAATTTACTATGGATGATCCTCAATGTCGTTATTTATCTCATCATTTGTGTTTTTGTAAAACAAAATCAAAAAAGTTTTAAGTTCTTTTTGAGACTTCATAAAAACCTGCAATGTATTTAGTTTTCTGGAATGGGTTGCAGAATGTAGAATGATGATCATCTTTAGATCATAGGTTAGTTCCTCTATAATTCCAATTCCATGTGCCAAGGAATCATTGGGCAACATATCAGCACAATCCTATTGCTCTATTAATGTAGCTGGAGAAGTTTGAGCTGTAATGAAAGTGGTCCTCATATGTCATTAGATCCAACCTAGTCAGATTACCATCACAAGATGTTGGGGGAAAGCAACAAGGGGCGTACATCAAACGTGACACCAACACGTGGAGTTGTCACAAGGCTAATAAAAAAAGTACATCTGTCATAGAGGCCAATGTTTGTTTTGAATGTTTTTTATTGGTAACAAGTAAAATTTTTAAATTTGATTTCAGAGTTTAAAAAAATGACATGATATTAATATTAAAAAGTAGCAGTTACAAATGCTTCATACCCTGGGTTTTGCTAGATAAATCAATATGCAGATGATATCCTTGTATTCTTGAATGAAAATCAAGTACATTTGTGGTAAAAGTCTATAACTAATGAGTGAATTATTATTCAAAGTAGTGGAACTAATGTTTTTTAACGAAATTAAAGTGTCTCCTAGTGTCTCCAAAAAAGGATTTTTGGGTTTTTGTCAGTGTACCAGATGAACTTTAGTTACCGCATGTAAGCAACCCTTGTTGGTGGCAGTCAAAAATGACATATGGAATGTTTTCAACATACTTGATGTTATTAAAACATCACAGGGAAGTGAATCATAAGATGAATAATGACCTTAGCTTGCATAATACCTTTCACATTTAATGAGGTCTATTTCTGTGTTCCAGTCGCCGTCATGTTCCAAACTTCTTTAAACAGCCAGATTCAGAGTTATTGCATTTATATGGCTGCAATAATCTTCTCCTATCCTTGTCTGCATATTTCTTTTCACACAAATAGACAGCCACCGCGACCAAACTCTTTCTGTCAGCGATTGGGGCTTTTATTTGTAAAGTGTCTTGCACTTTAATTTCTTACTTGTTTATTATTTCAAGATAATTAACATCAGAACTGCTTAAATAATAATTGAAAACCAATAATGATACTATTTTGTTCCTGTCCAGACTATGCAGTTCAGATTTTTCATGATGCAATCAAGACGGGCAAGTTTGAGTGCAACTTGAGGCCTGACTCGCGGCTACCCATGATGTACATCGACGACTGCCTACGCGCCACCCTGGAGGTGTTGGAGGCACCTGCTGATACGTTGAGCATGAGGACATACAACATCAACGCCATGAGTTTCACACCTGAGGAACTGGCCCAGGAGCTCAGGAAGCAGATGCCGGAGCTGGAGGTCACATACAACATCGACCCAGTACGACAGGCAATTGGTAAGAGTCTTTAAACTAACATATTTTAGGAATTTTTGTGCGGATATGGATGTTTTTTTTGTCATTTTAGTAACAATAGATGTTTGTGTTCAAAACTCATCAACAAATTTTCTATTTTATCTATTTTTTTTTTTATCTTGTAGCTGATAGCTGGCCCATGGACTTTGATGACTCCAATGCACGAAAGGACTGGGGATGGAAACACGACTACGATCTCCCAGAGCTGGTCCAGACAATGCTAAACTACTTAGGAGTGGAAACGTGCATGGCTCATGCCAATTGAGATGCCCCGTTAAAGTAGATATATTTTTGTATATATAATGTAACATTTTTACCCAAGAGAACAGAGAAACTTTGTCTGTACATAATTGTTCTCTCAATTCTCTGAGAATTTAGTTTTCAGAAGTAAAGGGCTGTGCTTGTCTGCAATATGGCCACCGTCTCTACAGAATGGAAAGGTGCAGTACAAGAGAATGATAACTTTCTGTTAAACATCTCTCTTTTCCTTTTATTTCTTGGAACATTTGGTTTACAAGTGAAAGGGCGTAGAGTCTGTCAGGTTGAACTGCTTGATCAGTAGAAATTGATTTCTAGGAATGACCTAGTAATCATTCACAGCATTTTGCAACATTTTCTAATTATGATTTTCAAAAATGCTGATTGTGCTATTTTTTCTTTCCTTTCCTTTTTTTTTTTTTTTTACCTGAGTCAGGGTTTATTTTCTTTGAGGAATGAAAATTGAGAATACAATTTGTATCTTTGATTGTACTGTATGTGAGGTTACTAAACGTAAAGATCCGGGGAAATGATAAACTGATATTACTCAGTAATTAGTTTATTTTTCATATTCTGTTATTTATTCTTTCTCTGTTATGTTTGGAAGCTCTATTTCCCCAAATCATTTGATGCTTTCTTATGTGTTTCTCTTCAGTTTTTTGTTATTTAATGTTTTTTTCACCAGCGTTGACATTACTTTGCAAAAAAATTTAAAAAATAAAGAAAATGGGAAATCTGACTCCACATGTCACATTAATTCCTGGAAACATTTAGGTAGCGTCTACAAAAGAGATTACTTATTTCTGTGTGTATGTGAGAAATTCTGCCAGTTCTTTCAGTCACCAGAGAAATTTCACAATAAATATTTTCAATATATCTTCTTGTTTATGTGTAGTTTTCTTTGGGGAGGAAAGTCATGTGAAAAAGATTTGTCAAAAGGACAAGCACTACATAAATCTCAATAAATAAAGAAGTCATTTGTGAAAGATAAAGAGCTAATTGTCGCAATTTCCCTCAAGTCATATGCCCCAACTTACAAAATACAGTGGCTGACAAATAACACTCCAAATACACCTACAGCATGGCATAACATTGTGGTACCCAGGTCACGCATATTCATATTGAAGACAGAAGGAATTCTCGTCTTCAATATGAATAGAGAAGCTATCATACTTGAGCTAAAAACAAGATCATACTGAAATGAAAAGTCTTGCGATTTGTGCAGAGGTTTGGACAGTTCACCCTAATCAGCCAGAGCTGAAGTTAACTGGAGCCATTTTAACACACATGCATGTCAAAATGACTCAATTAATGGCCAAACCGAAATTAAACGGAGGATCTGTGGCAAGATTTGAAGAACAACTGTTCACAGATACACCTTATGTAAACTGTTTTGCTGTTTTTAAATAAATGATTTGGGTATGTAAAATGAATGTAAAAAGAAAACATTTTCCTGTCACTTCACCAGGAAAATTGAAAAATATCAAAGGATGTAAATACTTTTGCAAGGAACTGTATTCTTCACATGTGTAGGATAGACCATAATGTGCATGCATGCTGTTCTTACTGGCTTTCGCCATCGCAACGCCTATCTCTTACCCCACACATTCATGTACTGGGGATTACTGGAAAGTGTAAGACTTACAGTTAGTTACCAGGCTGCTGAGTCATTCAGGCTGGCATGACTGACTTGTTTTTTTTCTTAGACTGAACATCACAGCTATTTTACCAATGTCTAGAACTTCATAACTGCATATATGAATAATTAAATCTCACACCCCTGTACCTGACAGTCTTGGTATGTGAACAAAACAGCATTAACCAGTCAAGCCTATGTTATGCAACTTTGCTTTAATCCCAGGAAATGGTTTAGGTGTAGTTTTTGGATTATATAAGAGTTTCACACGAAAGCAATCCTATCCAGTTTGAACCGGTCTGATCTGAAAATGATATTTGTTATGAGAACAACAGAAGAGGGGAATTATGTTTGTTTTAATCCACAAAGGGAGTCTGTGCGACTTGGATAGGATTTTCTATCTGGAAAGAGTGCGATGTATTGCAAAGTTTTAAATTTGCAAAATGTCAAACTTTTTCTTTCAGAGTGAAGAAGTACATTGAGGACTCTAAATAGCAGTTATGTCAAGCATATCTAAACAGAGTGCATGTATAAGTTAGCCAAGTCCCACCACAGGGTGTGAGTGTAAAAGTTGTCTCCTGTTACTTTACAGACAGAAGCTATGTGTGTCTCACATGGGTACAGGTTATGTAAGAGCGCCTTTTATATTCAGTCTGGGTGTTTACTCTGAACAAAAAGATTGTGTTGCAAAAAGGAAATTATAATAGTGCAATGTCTTTTATGAAATTGGTGAATTTTATTTATTTTATTTTGGAGAATTTAATATATTGCCATAAAAGTGTAAAAACAACAACAACAACAGCATAAAACAAGCAAACAAAAAAAAGATTTACCTAAACAGTCTGCTGTAATATTCTCATATTAATTTCTTCCATAAGATGTTCATGCTTCATTCTTTTCCATTTTTATCTAACCCTTTGTAAGAAACAAATCCTTACACCATTAAGAATTTTGACACAATACTTTGACACAAGGGTGATGAGGATGCAGTGTTTTCTGTTATGCGTAGTGATTTGTATGTATTTTAAAAAGTTACATTTTGGTCTCATCTGACACTTTCTATATGTTACAGTTGCATTAAGCCTCTCCACTTGTCTGCAGAATACTATGTCCTAGTGTTCAGAGAGAAACATGTGAGGCCTTCACAGATGCAATGCTTTATACTGAGTGTAAGTAACAGAGTTGAACAGTTTATCTTCTCTGTCAAATTTATTTATTTATTTTGTCTGAAACCAAGCACAAGTCGGTCTCCTGCTATTGTGGTTTCTAGCCTGGAGCGCCCTCTGCTGATAAGTGTTGATACAAATGAAACAGGAAAATAATCAGTAGCCTGTTTGAATACTTTGAAAAATTGACTAAGTTGAATAACTTACCAGATTTCATCTCTTGATTCCCTTATGAATCTTTAAAAACGTAAATTATTTCCCCGTTAAATGCTTACGGTGTTTTCATGCACCGTCAGCGTGTAACGGGAAGACATTGTTTTCAGGCATATTTCTGGGAGCCTTCCTTTGCGTCATCTGTGAAAGGACCCAGGATGTCCATGCTCGCCGAGCGTGCGTATATTTTTCCCCAATTTTGATACATTGTCAATGTTTTCTGTGTTTTTATGCTATTCTTTAGGGATCCTAACGCTTCCGAAACCATTTCCAGTCTTCTATAAATTGTTGGTCAGAAAATATTCAGTTTTTTTTTTCGAAAAGTACTCCAGTTAGCATTAGCATTTTTACAGTCGGTGATTTAAACACGTGTGTACTTTGACTCAGTTCAATAACTTTTCAGCAGACTATTTATTTTACTAAGCTACAGTTTGCCTTCGCCTTCTAATATTTAACTATGACAGCCCAGTGAGGCGTTTTAACTGCTTCCTTTAGGTCTTATTACCGGCTTGTTGACAAACACCTGTTATTTTTATTAAGCTGTATCGTTGAATAAAATTATTATTAATTATTACACTCCCTGGCTAAAACATGGAATACTTACAGGATGTTGAGTCCCAGTTAAAACGTAAAACTGCTTGATTGGATAGATGGACATTGCCCGTAAATCACAAAACGAAAAGCATCCTTGCTTCACTTCGTCCAACAGTACTGACTACTTCTTTTTGTCAAGGGTTGTATGCATCTAGTTAGTGTTATAGTTTTAAGAATCACTTCTATAAATGGCACAGGGTATTTGACTCAGTACAGCTGTGCTCTTACATAATTAAAATGTGATACTTCACAACACAGTTAACTTTAGCCTGTGGGCACCACACTGTGTATACACTTATCTGCGTTAGCTTGTTCTCATCTTTCATGCAAGCTCTTGTTGGTGGACTGTTATGTAATCACGTTGCTGCTGCTCCCTATTCAGCCCGCAAGAAACAGAAGTGGTCTGTAGACCCTAGGAACAGCGCCTGGAGCAATGATGACAACAAATTTGGCCAGAAAATGCTGGAGCAAATGGGCTGGTCCAAGGGCAAAGTGAGTGAGGTTTCTTCACATAGAATAATGTAAAGCAATTAGCTGTGCACTTTTCTGTTTGGGATGGTTTTTTTTGTACAGGAAAAAACTTATGTCATAGACCAACAATTGAAACATTGCATATTTCTTGATATAAAGCTCAAAGTCTTTACTTAATTGTAGTTTCAGATTTATCATAATGAAGTTACATTGTTGTCTCACAGCTTGCAGTATAATAAGTTCTGTGTAATTCTAAAAAAATATGCTAAGTTTGCACAATTAGGAACATGTGTTAGTATTCTCTCTTTTTTGTCATCCTTCTCAGGGACTGGGGAGGAGTGAGCAGGGATCGACAGATCACATAAAAGTAAAAGTTAAGAACAACAAACATGGCCTTGGAACAAATGCCAGCCATGAGGTCAGTTCTATGAGAAATAAAAATTTACTTTTGGACAAAACTTTGCATGTACTAAGAATTTGTTTTTTAAATAAGAAATTGTATCAATTCTAGGGCAAGAAAAGACAACAGTTTCTTTTAAATGTAATGTTGCATTATGGCTTGACCCTGCTCAAATAAAAACTAGTAATTTTTTCATGCAAGTTCGAATAAATATAAAGCTTGAGTATATATTGATCTGTGGTTCTTTTTTTCTCAGGATAATTGGATAGCTCACCAGGATGAATTCAATGAGCTTCTGGCTCAGCTGAACGACCACCATGGCCAAAACACAAGTAACGGTAAGCACAGGAAGTATGGTTACAACTTTCTACTGCAGTAAGTGGTTTGCAGGTGCATATGTGAGAATCCAACAGAAAATGTTACTCAAATTGAAGGGGCTTTACACTACTGATTTAAAATGTGGCTTCTGTGTAACATATGCTATATTGATGTGTTTTGATTTAGCAGATATTGTCAACTGTGCTTTTTTGTTTGGCAGTAAATGCCTGACTTTTACTTCTTATCTGATGTTCCAAGTATTTCCATATAATGTTCTTTCCTTCTGAAATATCTGTTGTTTAAAGTCCAGCACTTCCTGCTGCAGAAAAACATGCCGTAACATAATGTTGCCACCCTCATACTCCAGAGCAGGGATACTTTTCTTAGGCTTGGAAGGTTCTCAATTTTTTTGTAGAAATATGATTATGATCATCATGGCGAATTATTTAAATTTTAGTATCATGAAACCACGTTAAGTCCTATAAAACGATCATCTTTATTCCTGAATGCAAAGTTTAACATGGCTTCTGTTGTCTTTGGAGTAATGTCTTTATTCTTGCTGAGTGGCCTTTCAGCCCATGTTAGTACAAGATTTGCTTCACTGTTGTTAATGAAACGCTTATCAGCTTTCAGCCGTCATTTTCTCAAGGTATTTTGCTCTTTTTCCTGGCTTTGATTCCCACATTTCACACCCAAACACATTCACATTCATTCAGAACCCTTTCTGACATTGGCTTGACATTTGTAAGGTATTTACGCTCACATGTAATTGCCAGCATCTGGAAAGTGTACTCACTCAAGGCTAAATCAACACTTGGGCTTTCACAAATTGTTTAGAGGCAAGGTAATATTTCTTTGTGTAAACATCTCAATGTGAAGAAACTTAAAAATAAAAAAAAGCATTATTCTGGTGCTCAGCAAATAAAAATAATTTTGGTAATCCTATTTGACTGCATTTAATCTAATTTACCATCATATACTAGGATAATTTATACCTTGAATGCAAGACTTTTGATGCATCCTTAGCTTTTTAAACAGCAGAGGGTGCTACGCTGCAACATTTTAGAAAGTTCAAGGATTTATGTGCTTACTTATCATGTTTCAAACATTAGTACCACAATGCTAGGAATCTTACATAAAATAACTTATCACTTGTTGATTTATTCATTTTGTAGTGGGTTAATGTGTGTATCATAGTTTTTGTTTTGATATTTGTAGAAGTTCCTCCAGATGAGATGAAGAGCTTCAGTCTGGAAGAAAAATCTAAGACTTCTAAAAAGAGGGTTCATTACACCAAATTCACAAAAGGTGAGTGTCTTCCTTTTAACCAGCTGTGTTTATCAACTTTATACAGTTTCAACCTGTCTTAACCAATCTGTACCTCAAAGCCACACTCTTGACATTCCCTTTTACATATTTAAAGCAAGACTTCATACCAGAATGAGAGTGAAATGGTGCTGCTGCTTTCACGGTTTTCTGCCGAAGCCCCCCTGCTGTGTTCACTTGACTTCTTATTAAAACTTATGCTGTCGTCTCAGACCACAGACGCTGATCAGAGTCCGGTCTGTATCTGCCGGGTCAGTTGACCCAGTGAGTGCTTTGGGAGGTTATTTATAGGCCTTCCCACTCCTTTCATTACCCTTTACACGTCAGGAAGTTAAGATTTGCTGGTCAAGGTCGGTACACTGATAGACTTACAGAACTATGTGTGTTCAGAACCACTGGATGGTAAAGCAGAAAACTATCAAATTAAACTGAACACTATCATGATTCGTAGAATTTGCAGGTTAAATAATGACCTGGCGTCCAGCACTTTACACTTTGAAGTGCCCCCTTTGAATGGGGGCACTTAGAGTTTCACCAATAATCTGCCATCCTAAAACAAAAAAAAAAATATATTTTTTTTATATTTTTGTCTTTGGACTTGCTTGTGCTATTTAAAATGTTTTACAATATATATAATAGTGAGTCACTGCGTTCAAATCTGCTTCATCAGATCTGAACACTTTACAAAACAAACATCTCAGTTTTTGCTTCACCTGGAAGAACCTTTAATATTTTACGTCATTCAAAAGCAACTTCCTGTTTCCTGTTTGGAGCATCTGGTATCTGCATTTACTCCCCCCCAGCAGAAATGGCACTCCTCTGACCCATTAGATGACCCTGCTTGATAGGACCTGGCCCCTGTCTCTCCCCCGCTTGCAGCTTTTATGTTGTGAGTGTGAAGCGAGTCGGAAAAAGGTGCACACTTAAGCATGACGATCTGACTGTTTCGATGTGCTCGTTTCTTTAATTTCGTCCAACATTTATATTCTGCTGCCATTTTTAATTGCCAAGTTTTAGTCAGGTTAAGCTCATTCTGACTCCTACAATTGTATCATTACCTAATGTGACTTGGGGTGAGTATGTTTCTGTTTGCCAACTACAGGTGCATTCATGGCAGCTCTAACTAATATTTCTAATTATCATTCATGCAGCATAATGCATACATTGTTCTGCTTCTGCATGTACACTCACTGTTCATTTTGGATATTTGCTTTCAGGGCCAACCGAGATGATTGGAAAATGTCATTCCAACAAATTTAAAAGCTTCGCCTGTCATATTTTATATTACATAATTGCCCAATCATTTTTATGTGAACTAAGCAGATTCAATGATGAAATGATTTCAGTAGTTTTTATTCACCCATATAAAAGTATTACGGACACTTAAAATTTAAGACCTGTTTGATGTATGTTTTTAACTGTAGTAAAAAAAACAATCTAAAGTACACCATCAAAGAGCTTGTGTTTAGATGTGGAATTATTTAGTTGAAAAGCCAACTTTCACAGTTTTCTTTTTGTCTTTGTTATCCTGGGTTTAAGCCAGACAGGGAAAAAAAATACAAACTTTGGATGAAAATTATAAAATGTATTAAAATGTAGAGGTGCACAATTTATTGAAACACAATTATAGAAGTTCTAGTACAGTTGCAATATTTGGTTAGCTATTACGCTCAATGTTTCCAGAATAGAATTCAAAGATGAATAGCATTTATTCATCTTTGAATTCAGGTATTCTAACCACATCCATGACTACAGTTGCATGAATCAAGCACCAGGCACGTAGACTGTTTTACAAACATTTGTAAATGATGGGTTGGGGTCAGGATCTCAGTGATGTCCTGCATTGTATAATAGGATTAATAGCAGTAGTGCAATTTTTTGCCATTTAAAATTTCATTTTGCGCTCGTAGTTCCGTTTTTACAAAGTGGGAGTAAATAACAATGTCAACAAATTGGCCACAAAATGACAGGCGAGGATACAAAAGAGGGGCATAGAAGTTGCTGGTTATATAGACCTGACCTCAGCCTGACAAATTGAAGTTTTTAATGACTAGAGTGCTGCCTTTTAGCCAGGCTCTTTAGTCTGGTCTAAAGAGCCTGGGTAAAGAGTTTCTCTTTAGAGATTCTGGTTAAAAAAAAATCTCTTTAAACACATTCCTAAAACTTAAGGAAAGCTTTCCCAGAATAATTGAAGTTGCTATAACTTCAAAGACAACTGATGTCAGATCATAGACCAAATGGAATAAGATTTGGATGTCACTCAAATTCACGTATGTATGAAAGCAGGCGAGTAAGTACAGCATGTACAGGTTTCTTGCCTTATTGGACAAGTTGCTCTGAACCATTTACTCATTGATGTCCGCATCCAACACAAACTTTGGTGGTTTTAAGATACTGAATTTCTCAGAGAGTAGAGCAGACATTGTTGTGGCGGCAAATAACGAGGAAAGTGTTGGGGTTTTGAGCAGAAATTGAAGGGAAATTTTTTCTTTTTTTTTCATCATTAGAGATTTATATTTAAGTAACCTGCTTTATGTAGAAAAACCTAACAAATGAACTGAAGTTGGGTAGTGCTCACAAGAAAATGTGAAAGGGGGGTTGATCCCTGGTTTTCCATCTTTGCAAGGCTGACTGCTTTGTGCCATCAAATAATTTCCTATGCATGAGGTGATCCAAGCTCTGTTTTTTTTTCTGTCAATGTTTTTGACATCTAGTTTTGGAGAAGTACTTTTGTTCTTTTTTAGTGATGACTCTAAGAAGGAACAGATTAGGAGGGACTGCATGCAGGAATGTTTACACTGCCAATCAGCCATTTAAGGTGTCGACAGATTTGGCACCAGTTTAACTGTCATTTACAATCTGACTATTATATGCTGTCCCTTCTCAGAAAGGGCTGAATTCTTTCCAAGCAACAACAAAGTCTCAAAGATTAGATTGGAAATTTGAGCATTTGCATCTTAGGGCATATGGGTTGAGTCAATAAGAGGTCATATTTGTGTTCTCCTAGGTGTCAGCAACAGTAACAAAAAAAAAAAAAAATCCAATTTTTTTCTTGTAATAGTCTCCCTCAGTGGAGGTGAACTACCACTGTAGTTGCCAGTAGCAATTTGTAATCACCTAAACAGAGCTGCAGGGTAAGATGTAATCCGCCACGCCTCTTTGCATGCTTCTACAGACTTCTCCAACGCCAACTCCCCTTATTGTGAGGTTGTTGCCAAGTACAGGCTTGCTAATAGATTTAGTGTTGTTAAGCTTGTTATATGAGTGGCTGGTAAGGTCAGATAATACGCTGATAGTTTTTGATTGTAAAAGAGGTCAACCAGTTTAGTAGATGATGCTATAAATTCATGTATCATGAGTTGTTAGTTTATAACTTTTATTTAAAATGTTGTAGCTTAAGTAGCAGTAGCCTTCCTTCCTCTCCCTCTCAGTTCAGGCCCGCTGTTTACTGTCCTGCCTATTTTTTCTATTGATATCTCGTTTATGCTGGTTCGCTCTTTGCCAACACTGAGAATTGATGGCCTTTGTTTGTGGGGAAAGGCACCAAAATCTCCACTGCTTTGGTCCAGGCTCCACAGCATAAACTAGTAACCCAGTTTTAATTGCTGCCTCCATCTATCATTTGTCAGGACAGCCAGGGTGGTTGATGCAGGATTTAACTACAGTTCTTCATCCCTCCTGTCTGTGTAGTGGCTTCATTGCTGCTTTTGTGTTTTTAAAGAGTATCCTTTTTTGTTGTTTTTAACAGATCTTGACCAATTAAAAATCACACAAAAAATTAATTCTGTTCTTCTTATTAGAGAGATACTTGGCAATAAATATTACGCTTTTTGAAAGTCTTGTTTATTTCCATTTGAATCAAACCACATTGCAAGGGAAATGAATTTGTGGGTTGAACAGTATGTTAAGTTTAGTATGTGGGTTGCCCCCATGAAAAACCTGCCAAGTCTTTTTCTGCAAATAGCAAACATCATCTTCCTGACTGGAAAAACAGGGTTTGCCATCATCGTTGGCAGTGCAGAGATTTCAAGATGAGATTCAGCAGCTAGTATCCATCCCACAGCTACACTCTTTTGGGACCAGACAAAGATGTCAATGCAAATAATAAATACAGAGTTTGGAAGTAGAAAGGCCGAAACTGAATTGGCTGGGTTGAACAGACCCTGAGGAATAGGATTCTATCCCACAGCATTGTGTGACCAAATTTGTTACCAGCATAATGAGGGGTACTCTGTTTGTTATATAAATGAATTGTTAATTGCCAATAAGTCTTGTTTCTTCAAACTTTAATAATCCAAGCCAATAAACACCACCACATTACAAACAGTTGCTGACTAAGCTGTTGGCAGGAAAGACTGGATAGTTTATTGTGGCCAGATAGTCAACTCTGTTGATGCATTTTCCTTACAGATGTGAGATAATTTGTAAAGAAATAAACTTTCTTTGCAACAAGAAGCATGCTTGCAACAGAGAAATAGGTTAAAACCAAGTTCTTTATAAGTTTAGTACAACAAAACTAAGAGCTATGTCAGAAAATGGGATTATGTTACTTTACTCATTGAGTAAAGTAACATAATTTGATCTCAGATTTGCATATCAATTTGTGCATTGTAAATCTTGTTTGACCAGTTATTTGATCTGATGATTTCTACCATTTTAAACAACTCTTTGCCCGTTCACCTGAGAACCAGGAAATGTATACGTGTGCTCCCTTTTGCAAGCTGTGAGAAAATCAAATCCAGCATAATTTTTACGCATGACCCAAGTCCAGTAGGTGACAAACACCAAATGACCTCCATTCCATTTGTTTTAGTTTTCAGCATACTTTCTTGGTTTTTTACCTCTTAAGTGTGCCCTGTGCTGTGACTTTCAAAGTCAAAAGCAGGGAGATAGGGTCTTAAAAGCAATAAATAACCAAATGTTATCAGAGTCCCGCTGAAGGAAGAGGATGCAGCTGTTTGAACAGGACCCAGGCTCGAGACAGACGACTGCATGCTTCAGGAGCCTTTGAGGCCCAGTCTTGAGAACGGGAATCCGGAGACTTGGCGGACCTTGTCGTCAGTTTATTTTTCTTTGCTGTTTTATCCCTGCTGCATAAGTGAACCATGCACAACTCCTCTTTTCTTGAACCAGCTACCTCTCTAACCCTAACCCTTAAGCACACACACAAACACACAATGTGTCATATGTTCTTTAGTCTTTTCAATCTGTTGGCATGTTTTTGATATATCAAACAAAGTTTGCTAATAAATGCTGATGTCGAGTCCAACAAACTTTATTGTTTTATTTTAGGCAAGGACTTATCTTCCCGTAGTGAAACAGATCTTAACTGCATCTTTGGGAAGAGGACCAAGTCTACCAAAAACCAAGAACAGGTAATGTATTGAACTTTGTTGCGTGAGTAAGAGGAAAAATCTTTTTTGACTGCTGTCTGAGGACTTCTTGCTTCAAATATCATTGAACATTTCTCAAAGTCTTAGTTAATATTCCTAATTAATTACTTTGCTTTGCTGAAAAATCCTGTCATCTGAACTGAGCAGGCTGATCCATGATCTTTCTAAGCCTAATCAAAGTCGGGACTCAGGAGGAAGACAGCATACCTCCAGCCAGGTGGCTAAGGCTTATCAGTCTCAGTAATTGCTGGTGACCATCAGTTCTGATGTCCTCAACATTTACTCTGGTACAGTGTGATCCCTGAGGTTTTGCAGGTCCCAGCTCCCAAGCTGCCTCTGGCTGAAGATTAGCCATGTTGCAGTGAACAGCTTTAACGCTGCCAAAAGGGCCACTGATGGTGGCAAGAGCACTTAAATCCAGTTAAGAGATTTTCACTCTTACCTCTTCGTCCCCTCCTTCACACTTCCTCCATTTTTTTTCTTTTTACTTCTGTCTCCGACCATCACATCAGGTGGTTCTGCCTGCCAGAAGGTTTTATTAAAGTAAAAACCCAAATTGTGTTGAAGTTAGCAAAAAATCTAAAGTGATGATGCTTACAAAAAAGTTATTTTTTGCTCTTGCCATCAGTGGTTAGCCCCTTCAGATGTCACTTTGCCATTTGACGCTAAAGTAATAGTCTAATAGTTTTGAAACTGACAGGCTCAAGTGGGTCCAGCTTGCATTTGGAAATAAAAACTAAAAATGCATGAAATCTTCCTGTTTGTAGATAACTTGCTGGAGTTATGATGCATTTTAGGCCTATATTTGCTTTAATAATTTCACATTACCTAATTTACAAGTAGACCATAACACATTAAATTGCTAGAAAGAAGATGTATTGGTAAAAGGTCATTGAAAGGAAAAACGTATAGGTTCATTCACACATATTTTAAGTGTTTCTTCTTGCTTTGATGATGATTATTTAGTTACTAAAGATAACCCAGATTTTTGTTTTTCTGAAAATTAGGTTACATAGGAACAATAGAAAATTATTTTCAATACAGATGTTTTTTTAAATATTAGCCTACAATATTCTGACATGTATGGATTCCACACCCTAAACCAGTAACCCAGTTTTAATTGCTTCCTTCATCTGTCACTTGTCAGAACAGCCACAGTATTTGATGCAGACTTTAACTACAATTCTTCATCCCCCCTTTCTGTGTGAAGAGAAGCAATTATTCCATTACAGAAACTGCTAAAACCTGCATTCATTATATTTAAAATATCTAAAAAGATTTATTTAGTTTTACTCATGTTACTGAGAGATATTGTGGAAAGTCAAAAAAGCCATAGTCTCAGCCGCAAGTCTGAGACCCCTGCTCTATACAGCCAGAGAAATCTTGAATACCTTTGTCACTTTCCTTAGGATCTCCTATAATTAATTTTAAACCTTAAAACAGATATAGATCATTTGAAGTCATAACTTTAACACGTTCATATACCTTTATGCCAATAAATTACCGACATCTGTCTCTTAGGATGAAATAGTTTTAAACACATAGCTATATAATGGGAAAACACACGGAATAAAACTTTGCTTTGCAGCCAAAGGAATTACAACTAACAATTATTGCACCACTTTTACATTTGTATTTTATGGTGAAATAAGCATTTTCACCCATTGTGAAAATGCTTATTGTAATGAATGAATATATTTTCATGTTGCAAACCAGTTTTGCTTCCCCAAGTTTAATCGACCCAGTATAGAAAGCCAGTCAGATGGTAAAATATCTACCTTTTGGACAGCAATATACAAAAAAGCCTTTTTGCTGGATTCCTTTGTTTATTTCGAGCACTGGGCTTGAAGAAATTGGCATCTTGAAAATCCATAAATTGTACACAAAAACCCTTCCTCTATTTCCCTGCAGGTGCTCTGCCATAGCATGACAATAGGAGATGCTCCCTGGCTGATTAACATTGGAAATGCAAGCAATACACACCATACTTTTTCCCTAATCGTTTGGTTATGGGTTCTTATTTTTCAGCCAGGTGGGACACCATCGACCACATTGAAAGCACCAACAACAATTACAATGGTTTCCCACGAGCCCTGTGTTGAAGCCCAGCAACATCTGAGGTTGTAGGGAATAAATAAGAACTGTGATTGACCAATCAGGATCTAGGTGTTTTGCCTGATATTCTATGAATCTGTCTATGATACTAGAATGAACCTTTGTCTCACACTCATCTTATGTCAGTCATTTGACACGTTACACAGTGTATACATTTAATAATTTCACTACTCCAAAACATTATACCGATACAGATATGGGGGTTTTTGTCGTGGTATTACACAAATGTCCATCTTGATTAAGGTTGTCTGAAGCGTCATGGACTTGCCCTCTTTCCCACTCATGAATCTTCCAGCTCTTCAACCACCACCCACGGCTGTCTCTCCAGCATCCCTTCCACCAGTCCCCCCACAGCGGGTGTTTTCCTTCCTCCACAGTGATGTTTCCTGCTCGTCCCTTATCGCTGTGCGCAACGCTCCATGAAACAAACTGCACGCACACACTCAACACGCAGGTTTCTGTTCATCAAAGGCAACTCTGGACATGAGACCATGCAAACATTTTTATTTGTTTTTAACACATAGATGCTGTTGCTTAACAATTACGGCATTACACTACACCCGAATTACTGTCTGAAATTATTCATTTGAGCCGTTCAACTAAATACACTCTGACTGGTTGACGATTTACCCCTGACACCAAACATGTGAGGGGAAAAATTTGGGAGCTATGTCTGAAACTTTGAACATCTTTTTGGAACACAGTCCAAACAGTCATCCAAAAATAGTATAGCACAACCGCAAACCTACCAAGGATCCTCAACCGACACTAATCAGGGAAATCGTTGATAACTCTTGAAGATCTGCAAATCTTTTAAGAGGACAGTAACAAAATGAAAGAAAAAACATGTCTTTAGAGTATTTACTCCAGTTAACAATTAATTGTTTACAAAATTAGCTGACAATTATTTCAATAATTATGAATCTGATTAATTGTTTCAGCCCTATTTTGGTCAAATGAGGCTATGCAAAATGTACTGGCAGAGGTACAATTTAATGTTTTAGATTCAAACATGTCTGCTTGAATCTCGGTCAAGATTTCAAAGAAGAGCTAAAAATATATTTTCATACAATCTCCCTGAGTTTTAAATATAAGTCTGTAGTTTGCAAAGCTATTGGAGGTGTACTCCAAAAGGTAATTTTTTTGATTATTTATAAAAATGTCATCTGTTGTCTTCCTTTCACTTCAGAATGTCACATCAAATAGGTTGATCACATAAAAATCCTATGATATACATTGAAATTTGTGATTAGAATCTAGTGTTAAACAAAATGTAAAATTGGGGGTGTGAATACTTTTGCATTGCACTGCAAAATGGAAGAGTTTATAAGTATGTTTATCATACTTATTTATTGTAGACATTCAGCTTTGTTTTACTGGGGGAAAGCTATTTGCCATATACAAGTGACTACCTTGTCAAGATAAATTGCAGGCCACCACTTACCCACAGCTTCTCTTTTTATTGTCTAACCACCTAAAAATGTAAGGTGTAAATGTAAGGGTGTAGCACTTGTCCATCTACTTGGGTCTCTGTTATCCATCATCTATCCTATACACACGAACCTCTTCCTTCTCTTGCCTCCTCTTGAGCTCCTCTACACAATTACTCACCACATGACAAATGACAGGCTCTCACTGCCGAGATATCAAAAAGCCCTGGCCATTTTTAAATGCAGGTACATTGGCACCCCCGTGCTCCCCGCGCTTATCGGCGGGCGAGCAGTGCCCCTGGCTGTCCCGTTCTCCTCCTTCCCCCTTTCTCCACCACCCCTGCTCTTCATGCCCTCCTCAGGGGGTTTAGTTAGGGGAGCCACATGGAGGGCCAGCCCAGCTTGATTTATCTCCCTCGCCCCTCTGCCCAGCCACTCAGGCAGTCTGAAAGAGCCGACGAGGCTCCAACGGGCCTCGGCTCGAAAGCCCGGCATTAGCTGAAATAAACCATTCTGCCGCCCAGTGAAAAATGTCCTCTGATTGGCTAATTAATCAGTCAAAGGGGAGCGACGCGGCTTGTGGCTTGAGGGACCCAAGCGGGCGACCGCAGAGGGCCTGCTGATAAATAGACTCCCCGCCGATTCATACATCAACAAAAGTTAGTCATTTTTTATAGGCGCCAGCTCAGTTGAAAGGTGGAAACAAGCTGGAGTTTTATTTTTTTCACCTACATTTCATTCTTTTTTTTGTTTGTTTTTTTTTTTTTTTTTTGCAAGGAGCAGCCAAAAATAAAAGCTTTTAGATTTTCATTTAAATGACCTGCTTTTGGAATTTTACTTTAATATTTAAAAGAAAATGAAGAAAATCTTTATTTTCCACATTTCAAATAACTCCTAATATGCACTAGTCTTGATTATCCATCACTCATTTTTATTTTAATTTGATATCAGTAAGGGCACATCCACAGTATTAGTCTTATGTTGATTGCTTATTCTGTTTGACTTCAGCAAAACGTTAGAGGTGCTCCAACATTCACCCATTTATTATTTCTCTACTCCCTTGGTGTCAGAAAAGAAAAATGGTTCAGCTTAAATTGGTACCAGCCTTGTTTTGACGTTTGAACCTCCAGTCAGACGGTGGGTATGCTGCGCCCTGCTCTCGGGTCAGCGTGACCCCTGCGGCCTCTCCCACTCCCACTCTTGCTCAGGCACAAAGAACGGGGGGATCAGGCCTCATCGGGTGGCACCTGTTGCAAGCGTTGGCTGCCCACGCATCGTCCACATGAAGGATAGCCCGTCGGCATGGGCTCCCCTGATACCGCCGTGTTAAGGAATATGGAGCAGGGGCGACACGGGTTGAGCATTTGGCAGACGCATCACAGAAGGCGCCAGGGAGCCGATGGGCGGAGTAAAGCTGTGGAAGTTTGCTGACAGTGC